GTGGTCTTTGTTCATTGTCAAGTAGGTGGACCCTGGCAGAGCAAAAGGTGCAGAGGGTCGTGTTGTGTAACACAGCTACGTTTGCATGAATGAAAGGGTCAATGTATAATTACTTTATGGATCATCTAGGAACAGGCATGTATTGCTAGCTAACGGCCACTTTTATCCAATCATCATTGTTGCGAGATCCACTGCATGGGAACGATGCCCCTGCTCTAGACATTCATTTCCATGATTAAAATAGGTTGATCCGAGCTGATTTGACTGAGCTGTGGTCAAAGTGAGATTACATCACTCTGGACATAAAGCACGCTCGATGTAGCCCAACCGATGTAATCTTGTGTGAGCGTAACTCAACCAAATCAGCTCGGATCAACCTACTTTAATCATGGAAATGAATGTCTAGAGCAGGAGCATCGTCCACCTACAATAGAATGCACAAAAGTTGGGAGTGCACAAAAGTGGCTATTAGCTGCCAATGTATGACATCAAAGTGAGGGTTGCGTACCTTTCATGCATTGTCCCTGAAGTCCTGACTTTTTAGCCGAGTTACCCAAAGAGGTCCTTCTGCATCTTTGGCTCTCCAAAGTCTAGCTACTTGACAATGAACAAAGACCACTTCACATATAGCATCACGCTTACAAACATAAAGGTGCCTGTATCTCCAAACTTTACAATGAAGCGTGGGGTTTTTATTAGAGCAATGTGCTCGGCTTGGCCAACTGCACCTTGTGTCAAAGTATGAAGTTCATCGTGGCCATTCCCAGATTTCGCAATGTCGCCACCAGCCAAACTAGATCTGGGGGTCGACCTCTTCGACGACGACGACCAAAAAATACTTTTTGGGCTGTTTGCGACATTGAACGCGAAACTTTCACACAAGGTGCTGTTGGCCAAGCCGAGCACATTGCTCTAATAAAAACCCCACGTTTGATTGTAAAGTTTGGAGATACAGGCACGTTTATGTTTTACCTATGCTGTAAGCGTGATGGAGTTGCTTTTTCCTAATGGATGGTGTCGGCTGCATTAACGGAAAGATGAAGAGCTGAGTGAAACGACGGGTGGTGGTTACACAGACACGTCCTTGACAGGTTGCTACACAAATGGATGATGATGATGATTGCCTTTTGTGAAGGTACGTAAGTAAGCAGCATCCAATAATGAAGGCGTGTCAAGGTATGCATCACATTTGCATGTAGAAGAAAGTCGAGCTGCATAAACCAATTTGTATATGTAAAAAGATACGTATACATATACATAATATTGAATGAGGAGTCACTCCTCCTGAAACTCAATGGAGGGATCTCTTCACTTTTTCTCTTCTCAAGCTCATCCCACTTCCCACTCCTCCTTATTGTATCACAAAAGCCATGTACTTCTTAACCGGACCACCTTTATTATTCCATCTTCGAAGCAATAGTATGTAATCCACAAGCTAGCAACCTCCAACAAGCGTGTAATAAATAAACAATGCTTTATTTCATCTAGCTATCTTGCTATGTACTGTACATTGCCACCACCATCGTCGTAGTCGTCCTCCGTCATCATTCCTGCTCGTACTCGTCACCAGTCGTCAATCTCATCCGTCACACCAACATCCAAAAATACACAAGTTGAAAAGAATGGGATCTTGCAGGCTTCCTTTTGAATCTCGTTGTCGTCATCATTGTCATTGTTGCAGATGGGGTGATCAACGTATCATCGTCATTGTTGTGAATGTGGTAATCATCGTAATCGTCGTGTCTATAAATAAGAAAGCAAGCAAGTTAGACCATATGATGCCGGGAATGATGACGATTTGGTATACCGTTAGGCGATCCTCTCTAAGGAAGAAAGCAAACCAGAAGGAATTCACAAACCAAATCACCACCATACGAGCAACGTCGGGCGATCCCTTGTTCTTGAGAAAGCACTGCACGAATCACGCAAGGCCAGTTCGATCCATGGCAGAGAAGGACTCACTTACGTAGAGTCCAGGCTCATAGTTGTCCTCATTCATCCTCTCCAAAGAAAGAATGATTCCCAATCCAATCCTTCCAATCATCTCCCACCTCATGAAAAGAAATCCTCAAAGGGAAAGAACGAGCCTATCACGAGAAGAGCGTGTTGGTTCAACACATTCACAAGCTGTTGCAAATCCCCTTTTACCTTAACACGGTGACCATGCTCTTCCAATAATCCATCGCCATCGACCCATCAACTCAACGCAGGCCTATAGAGCCCTGGACGCATTCCAAGAAGCTTTTCCAGCACACTTGGCTAGTGCAGAGCGACGCAGCGACCATTTGATACAGGCTGGGACTTGAACCCAAAGAGATGATGATGATGCCCCAAGTTGCATTGCCTGACCAAAGAAACCTATTCAATTCATTATTAGCACACATGCACAATAAACACCCTTTTCATTGTTTGTTTCATTGTACTTGCCTTTTCCATATACACAAAGACCCGTTGTTGTTGGTTACTGGAAACCGAAAACCATGGTGTAGTATAGTTGAGCCGAAACAAAACGCCAAACCAGCCAACGTCTTGAAACCAAACTTGCCCTCTATACAAGCTGACGCGTCAATGGAACCAATTCGGCTGCAACATTGGACTCTGAATGTACCTGTTGACACCAAGCGTAAGGCGGGAATAGCAACGAACAAGAGGAAGTAACAATATTGCCATGGCAACCGCCAACCACCAACCACGCTCATTCCTCAGCACTTGGACACACTCACTCTCCCTGACAATGCATGTTCATTCAATACCTCACAACCAACAATAGGCACTCTTTTATAGTACATTACCTTGATCGAGATGTCGTGAATGGAATAAGGAAAGGTGGGAGAAAAAGAAGAGAAGCGTTGTCTCAAGTTGTGGAGCTGCTGTCCCCCAAGTTTAAATCCGCTACTGCTATTACACTGAGGCCACTCATCAATTACCCTATACACCCAACCCACCCATCATCATCATCGCCCTCACGATAGACAATAGGTACACGTAAATAAAAGAAATGATGATCCTCACGTATAGCAAAAGGGTGTGTGCCATTTTACACTTTACATGATAATGATGATCCAACAACAGCCATTGCCTTACTACCAGGTTAGCTCGAATCATGAAAGTTAAATGATGGGCATGCTGGGCTGGAGCAAGACAATCGTTCGTATGCATTGGATTGGACAACAAAGGTGAATGGGAGGAAAGGACCAATAGCTGGTAGTTTATGAATTAGAATTCAAATAGGGCAGTGATTCATACGTCGTCCTGAACTTGTACCAGGGCAGCTTATGACAGAGGTAGTCTTTTATATGGATAAAGCATAAACATGTAAGGTTATTGTAAGGCTATTCCACGATAGACTTCATCGACAAAGCAAAAATCCACAAGCGAAGCAAACAATCCGCTCCATAGTTGATTGATCATTGTGGCTGTATTGTTGAGTTGATTGGCAGGCTATCTACTAAAGAATGGGATGATCGTATTCGTATGGCTTCCACACAAACGTGCATAGATGCATAAAGCGCCTCGGTGATGTAATGGATTCGAAAACAAGGTCATCAGCAAGCGCATATGACATGTAAATAAGCATCATTATCATGATCATCATCACCAATCAAGGATACATTTCAATTCACATATAAAGATGTCGATAAGGATCATGACGCCATGGTGACGCTGCTTTGAATGAAAGATAAAAGATCACATGGTTAGAAGCAGCAGGAATTGTTCATGCTTTTTCCGCTGGGAGACACAACCCAATAAATTTCGGATCCCACACCTGTTTTGCAACCATGCGCTTTCCTTTTTCACCATCTGCAATGACCAACTTTTTCGAGTTTACTGTTAAAGACATCAAGAACCAAGACTGGGATCTCTCGACATTGAAGAACAATGCAAGTAGATTGGGGAAAGGTATCCTAGCAACTATGAGTGTCTAATTTGGGCCCCCCCCCCAACAACAGGTCGTTTTGGTTGTCAATGTCGCGTCCAAGTGTGGCTTCACCAAGCAGTACTCTGGTTTGGAAGAGCTTTACAAGAAATACAAGGATCGTGGCTTTACTATTGTTGGATGTCCTTGCAACCAGTTTGCCGGTCAAGGTATGCTACGGCTGAATCTGATACAAGGTTATGCATGATTGAAACAGGTTTGATAACACCGTTTGGTATCCAGAACCCGGCAGCGAAGAAGAAATCCAAAACTTCTGCAAGCTCAACTACGATGTCAGCTTCCCCCTTACTGCCAAGCTGTAAGTGTGAACAAAAAACTGCTTATCGGTTGCATGGTATTGATTGTGCGAGGATCTCGGGATAATGAATAGGCATGTGAACGGTGACAAAGAGGCTCCCTTGTACAAGTTTTTGAAGGAATCTCAACCAGGCTTGCTCGGGTAAGTGTTTACTTTATCGCATGTTCCCTTTCCCAAATATACACATGATTCATCATTGATAACATCTCGTCTCTTGTGTAGCATGAAGCGTATCAAATGGAACTTCGAGGCAAGTATACAATGTGCTTTAGGATTAGTCATAAGCTAACATGGTTTTCCTTTCAAAAGAAATTCTTGGTTGATCGTGAAGGCAACGTTGTCAAGCGCTATGGCTCCATGACCGATCCCTCTTCCATTGGTCCTGATATCGAAAAGCTTCTGTAAATGTCCCCCCTAGCAAAGTTATCCATGTATCATGCCCCCAACATTAAACATGGCCCATTAATCTCGCTATCATATTCATTGCAGGTCAAGTGCTTCTGAACGTGCTCGTATGTGATGTACCTTTGTAATAATAATGAGTTTACCTTCCCAATGGAATGAGCAAATGATGTTACGGCATGGGATGTATCCTTTATACAATACAAGTTTATTTCTACAAAGGAATGAGCAAACGGTGTTATGGCACAATGGTACAATTGTGATTGGGGGAAATGACGAAAGTAAAACGTGGCAAGTGTGTTGACATGGTCTACAAGACATTGGAACATAAAGATGACCAGTGGTAAATGTATGATAACATACAAAGAAAGGGAGGGAGTACTATAAAATGCATGAAAAGCAAAAGCGTACACACTTGAGAGAACACGTGAATTGTCGCAAGCGGACTTTACAATCTAGTTTGTTTAGTAAGTGCTCGCTCCGAAATGATATGCACGTTCCCCATTCGCCCTCAACGTCCGATACTATCGAAACCCCACCTCCATTTGGAAGGTCACTTGTATATCATGTACCGCGCTGAAGAAAAAATAAGAAGATCGGAAACGAAGCTCGCTTAGCTCAGTTGGTTAGAGCGTGGTGCTAATAACGCCAAGGCCACAGGTTCGACCCCTGTAGTGAGCACGTGACCGAACACAGCTTGTGAACAACCTTTTTGTTTTTGTCGTTATCGTATGGCTGATTAGATTGTCGTAGGTCATGTGACCACGTGACCTAGCTTTTGCTCGTTCCT